CTTTTCTCTATTCCTAATTTGACAAAACTTTCCGAATATGAAGTTCTCTATCTACCCCAACTTGCCGAATGTGATTTGAATCATCCAATCAACAGATATGATCAAAACGGTGGAAGGTGTCATTCTGAAATCGCAGCAGAGATCATCTGACTTCGTCATCTGTTTTCACCTTCTTGCTCTCCTATTCTCGTAATGGTGTCTTCATATGATTTGTATCCCTTGAAGTTGTCTTTCATTTACAACTTGAATCATGTCCATTAGTTGTTTCTACAAAGAGATATTCTTGAATGATTGACAGAAGGTCATCCTGATCGTCGTTTTCAAGCTTCATTCATCTTCTTTTGATCCCGAAGCCAATCCTAGAGCTCTTTTGTCATCAAATCTTCATCGTAAACCTCTCGCTGACCTCCATAGCTGTCAAATCAATCTCAAATGCTTTTCAACTGATCCCGATTTCTCCTCAAGCGCCAGTGCCAAACTCTAAAATCCTGATTTTGACTCCAAATGACACAAAACTCGAACCAACGCCCGGTAAACATAACTTGAGCTAAAATTGAGACTTGTAACACCTTAAAGCTAGGGAAAACCATCAAATCCGATCCCAACACGCATCAAATGCATGTCTAAATATGGACTTATCATATTCCCCCACACTTAAGCTTTTGCTTGTCCTCAAGCAAACTGAACAATGGGGCTTACGATAATCACCACACGGAATCAAAACAATTAGCGGTGAAAGTACGAGTATTGTCTCCACAGGGACGGACAAAAGGGAATCAAGGATTAATTAAATTCAGCGATTAAAAAGGAATAAAATAAAATAAATGCGTCGTGCGAGATTGGTTGGTTGAATTAAAATTAAACTAATGCGAATGAACGATTAAAATAAAAGATTGGGTTCTCTCTAATTAACGACGAAGGGAGCAGGGATTGATTCCGGGGTAATCAGATTTCTGTCAGATCAGGCCTAATTACATGAAATTAATTTAATTGAGCCTAGCTAATCAATACTAAGTTCTTACCGCTCTTGCGACATAGAGTACAATAATTTAGGGGACCAGGCAGATCTCTCATGCGACAAGATTCTAAATTATTGCCAAAACGAGCGAGCTTACGTCTCCTTAATCGCTACTAATCTCTTAGCCAACGATTAAGTGTGTGTGAATGTGTCCTAGAATAAACTAGATCTCTCTTAATTTATTCTATGTGCAATTGTAATTCTAGCAGCGATTCCAGGTTACAAAAGATATCAGTTAAATTATTCAAACACAAATTAAACGGCATTCATGCAATTAAATCGAAAAGAATCTAGCCATCAATCATGATTAACCCCTTCATCAATCCCAAATCCCTAATTAAACTACTCACAATTCATAATTGAAGAATCAACAGAATTGGGAAGAATAGAATAAATTGTCATTAATTAAAAAGATGAACTTACAAATAATCCCAGGGTCTTGGAAGAAAATAGCGTAAAAACGGTGTTAAATTCGTCCCTAAGCCTCTCCGCAATGTTCGTCACCACTAAAAAGGGTTAGGGAGGCCTTATTTATAGAAAAGAGAGGAAAAATCACAATTCTGATCGATGTGGGAAACTTCAGCGCGTAACTCGGGGCTACGCACGATCGTGCGTCCCTGGCTACGCCCGATCGTGCGTAGCAGGCAGTAGCTCCTCCACGGTTTTGGCTCTTACGCACGATCGTGCGTCCCAGACGCACGGTCGTGCGTCCGTGTTCTTCAGCCTTTTCTCTATTCCTAATTTGACAAAACTTCCTTCATTAAAGTTTTTGATAATGAAGTTCTCTATCTACCCCAACTTGCCGAATGTGATTTGAATCATCCAATCAACACATATGATCAAAACCGTGGAAGGTGTCATTCTGAAATCGCAGTAGAGATCATCTGACTTCGTCATCTGTTTTCACCTTCTTTCTCTCCTATTCTCGTAATGGTGTCTTCATATGATTTGTATCCCTTGAAGTTTTCTTTCATATACAACTTGAATCATGTCCATTAGTTGTTTCTACAAAGAGATATTCTTGAATGATTGACAGAAGGTCATCCTGATCGTCGTTTTCAAGCTTCATTCATCTTCTTTTGAGCCCGAAGCCAATCCTAGAACTCTTTTGTCATCAAATCTTCATCGTAAACCTCCCGCTGACCTCCATAGCTCTCAAATCAATCTCAAATGCATTTCAACTCATCCCGATTTCTCCTCAAGCGCCAGTGCCGAACTCTAAAATCCTGATTTTGACTCCAAATGACACAAAACTCGAACCAACGCCTGGTAAACATAACTTGAGCTAAAATTGAGACTTGTAACACCTTAAAGGTAGGGAAAACCATCAAATCCGATCACAACACGCATCAAATGCATGTCTAAATACGGACTTATCACCTAGGTGGTAGCAGTCACCCAGGCGGTGACAATCAGCCAACGACAGTGGAGGTCTCTGCACTGAAGGCCTTGCGCGGAGGGTGGTGGTGTCAGCAATATGAAGGTATTGATGCAAGGCATCACAACAGAGTAGCCGGAGGTCTACAGATCATGCGCTAAATTCATTAAGGGCAATATTGTCCAATCAGTAATTAAGAGTCCTATTTATGGAAAAATAAACTGCAAGTCCTATTTGTGCATCTTTACTATGTTTTAGTCTCATTTGGGGAATTCTCTCTTCTTTTAATTATAGAAATCACGGTGAATTGGGATCGGGTATACCATGCGCATGATAGAACGATCTCACGGTATAATTTTCGCGTGAACAATGATTTAAGTTTCTTATCTAGATATTTTTCTTAAATATTAATGAAATAATATATAAGGACAAAAATTCTAACTAAAGTTATGTGAGTATGCATTTGGTCTCTAATGTGTAAAAGTGCACATACATAGTCAATAAAATTAAAGTTACTAACTAGGGGTGAGCATCGATCCAAGACCAGACCAGACGAGACTTGAATATTCTTGATTTGAACCAAATCGGATCAGAACTCAAAAGGTTTTAACAGAAAAATGGACCTGTATATAATTGGTCTAGGTTCGGTCTGGATTGATTGACCGGTGTAGTGATTTTCCGATCTAGAGCGGAATATGCTCACTCTATTCCACATATATATACAAAGTCATGTTCTTGTTCTTTGTTTTTATTTACAAATATGTTGTTCATTTTTGTAAAAAGATACATAAAAAATGGCACCCATATTACTTTTAGTGTTTCCAATTCAAAAAATATGATTACCTCTCATTTTTCCTCTCACTTAAAATATACGGAGTAATTAATGAATTGTTATTTAATTTCACTGTGAAAACTGCATGTCTTGAGACGTTGGATTTATTGCGCAATCTCTCTTTTCCTTAACACAACTTCCTATCTCCCTCAAATGCCACACCCCATGAGTCCATGACCTGCTAAAAAGACAACTCATGTCCTGCAAGGTTAACAATGTTTTCTTCTCATTCTCCCAATCTCTACCCTTCTCCCTATAATTTTTCTTTTTCTACAATTCTTTTTTTTTTCTTTTCGTCGTCTTCACTAAAAATGGAATGACGAGTGATTGAGTCCTAATGGTACGGTTGAGTCAACTAAGAAACTTTGAGAGAGAGGTATTGGAAACCGATTAAACCAGGGTTGGTGAGCGATGGTCACTCGGCATGACCCGATCATTGTGTTACAGTTACACCAATCAACAGTCACTATGGATGGGCAACGGAGTAACTGTGATTGTGGCGAGTGGCGGATGTCTTCTATTCAAGGGTGGATATGTGAACACCAAAAAACATAAATTAGAGTAATAGTTTATTTATTAGTATTGTAAGGAGAAAATGTGTAATTTTGAACGCCCAAAATATGAATATTAGGTCCGCCACCGGTTGTGGCTGAGTACATAACACTATCAACTGGGCGGCGCCTGGCGGCCATGGCAGCGGAAAAGAAGCTTTAAAAAATGAGAATACTCATATATTATGGCTTTCGATCGGTTACACACTACTTATGTTATTTAATTCTTTCAGTTTTTTTATTACAAAGACAGGTGAATAACATTAGTCATATCATTGGAAAAAATCGTTTTTAGTAGAACATAAAATAAGAAATAAAAGTTTTACTAACAAAATGGGTGAGAAATCGAGATAATTATGGTGATATGGTATGTCTTATGTTCCCAGACATAAAAGGGTTTGGTCTCTTGCTTATGATATTTAATAATTACGAAGTACGGAGTATGTAGCAACAGAATTGGTTACATTGAAACCCACGCATCACAAGAAGATCTTATCACCAAAGGTCAAGCAAAAAATGAATGGTGGCTTAGCACATTTAACAACATATTAACTGCAAAAAATGAATGGTGCATAGCACATTTAACAAGATATTAACTTGGGAAAAGGGACAATTGAGCCCTCGAACTAATTGAAAAAGTGCAAATCATCCCTTTTATAGGAGACTCTGTCCGGCCATCGCCATTTAGGGGGGTTCCCGGTGGAGTTCTTTGATGAAATTTTTTGAGCATCTTCTTTATTAAATTTAATTTATCTATACCAAATTTCAGCTAAAAATGAAATAGGGAAGGTAATCAAATAAATGTTTTAAGATAATTACCCAATTAAACAGCGCAGTATATTTTAGAAAATTATTTGACTGCGTTCCCGGACTTAATGAACAAGATGCTCAAAAAAGTTCATCAAAAAATTCTACCAGCAACCGCCCCAAATGGCGACGGCCGGACAGAGCTCCTATAAAAGGGGTGATTTGCACTTTTTCGATTACTTCTAAGGCTTATTTGCACCTTTTCCCTAGCTATTAACTTAGATTGATACGGAGTATTAGGCAAATTTTATAGTACTTCACTACACCATATTTTGTTCATATAAATTAATTAAAATATTAGGATTGAACAATTTAAGTATAAATAAGTGATGAAATAAGTGATGATGTATGGGGCGGTATTATTCGCCATGTGCAAAGAAAAAGTATGTGTATGACACATTTCCTATATATGGAGTGCACTTCTCATCAAGATACAAATATTTAAACTTTGTAGAACAAAGGTAATGATATAGTATGATAAGATTACACTTGAAATAAAGACTATAAATGAACTAATAACCAATTTTAGCCATCCTTAACCTCTTTAATTATTAAATTTAATTTTGAAGAAATATATAATCACCAATGCCCACTACCACGGCAGACTTCACAAAGAAAGGAAGGCGGTGTATCTTCATCATCATCCTCTATTCCACAACAGCACCTTGTGTGTTGCCACACCTGACAACCCTCACATTCCACCATTCTCTCCCCATCATCCTCCTTTGTCCCACACACACACTCTACCTTGGAAGAACTCATAGTCAAAGAAGATCCCACACCGTCTTGGTACCTCATAGGGCACTCCAAATCCAAACCACACCCCCTCACCCACACGTGTGCACCTCCTGACCCATCAACGCCCACACAACCCTTTACTACCCTCTCGTCCTCTATCCCTCTCAACCCCCCAACCTGTCTTACCTCAAACTTCTCCATAATGCAATGGGTGTCCCTCAGTGCTGCTTGCGCCACCCTCTTCAGTTCTCCTATGGTGATGCTCCCCGGGACAACCACCACCTCTCCCGGGGTCAATGGGCGGGTCAGCTCAGTCTCCAACTCCTCGAAACTCGGCAGGACTTGGCAAGTCAACCGCATCCTCAGCTCCCCCACCACTGCCGCTTCAACATCTTGCATGCCCCACTCCTTTACCAACCGCTTGCTGTCCAGGATCAACTGCCCGGCAGGGTAAGCGAGGAGGACGTTGAAGTACAACAGCTTGAGGTCCTCGTCAATGTGATTGCAGCCAGGGACTAGGAACTCTATCCTCTTCGTAGTTGAAGGGTTTCTGGTCGAACAACGGGAAACCACTGCGTTCTTTTCATCGTTAGACGATTCTTCATTGGTAAAAATGCGGAATTCCAATAACTTGGTGGTGGGATTGGTCGCCCGGCGAACGATGTGATTCCCTGAAGAAAAACATCTGATGGATTTGAGGACGAAATCGATCAGGCCGGTGTCGCCCACGCATTTTCTTGCGCCATCTCTAAGTTCTTGCCTGGTCAACATCCCACCATCTGTTTCTTTCAGCAAATCGACGATGGTATGCAGCACGAAATCTAACCTCCGCACAGGCCACCTGCAATCGCTCTTGACCAGCATCTTCACAAATGCCTCTGCAGAAACAGGGTCAATTCCTTCATTGTGATGTTTTGCCGCTAAATTCGACAGTTTATTACTGTTAGTGTTCTGAATCGGCTGAGTTGTAGGGACTGTGGTGTGAGAACGACGCCGCATGAGCATGATGAACTGCAAGAGCTCACTAATTGTGATTAATGGCTTTTGGCTCATTTCTCTGTATTTGTCGATGACTTCTTTTATATTCCTTCTTCTTCCGGGTGTGATTGTCTTGAAATCGTTGAGGATCTGATCCAGGCTTAAGGACTGAAGATATTCAATGGCAGAGTTGTACTTCTTCTCTGTCACCCCGAAGCTTCCTCGGTTGAACTTGTAGCCCCACTTCCCAAACCAAGGCATTCCATGAGTCGCACCATAGAGTAATCTCAGTTCCATCCCTCCCTTCATTGATACATCAAACACAGAGACTTTCCTTCAAGATCAAAATACATAGCGAAAAGAATGTTACTATCGTATCTCGGTTCAGCCTGTCCTTGAATTGCGCATACATGAATTGAAATTTGAATTAAAAATGACAAGATATATATGCATCACTGACCTAGTTTTCAATGCCGTGCAGAGGCGATCCCAGAAGTTCATAAAATCAGTCCCTCGCAAAGAATCTGGTGATTCATCTCCGGTGAGTCCATTGATAAATAGCAAATGTCCATAGCCATTGCAGTGAATCATTCCATGCAATGTATGACGGCTCGTGCCAATTTCCATGCAATTACTTGCCAGACGTTTCTCCCAGTTCACGTTTGCCGGAATTATGAAGTGGTACCGCCTCTTTGACACGTAATGATGACCCCAGCCTCAAATCGCGAACATAAATTAAAGATAGAGAAAATCAATAGGAGAACTGATAATCAAGTTCAAAGAACTAGAAGTACTCGGAATGCAAGTACAAGTAAGGCAAGATAACGAGCGACCGATTACCTGCGAATTTGCAGTGATCGCAGAATGGTTGCGGAGAGTACTGGACCGGTTCTTCAATAATGTAGAGAGGGAAAACGGCTCCATTACACGAAGCGATGAACCAGACGGACCAGAGAGGCATCCCGGCGACGGCGTAGTCTTCAATTCCGGCGAATTCCTGGAGAAACAAGCGGACGTCGTCTCTGAAAACACCGCCGCTGAGTCCACCGACGGTTCCCGCCGTTGCAAACGTCTCGAACGGAAACGGCCGGCGGTTTCTCCTCCGAGTTCGGCAGGCTTCAATCACACCGGACGCCATTGGAGAGAACTCCCAGATAGAGATTTCTCGCTTTGGTGTTTGTTGCGGACTGTTGCAAAAAGTGAATTTGGAAGTGGGCCCCGCAGTGTGTTGGTGCTCGTTTTGCCGCTCGAGTCTGGGGCGTCTGTGTAAAGTCAGTTTTGCCCTTCGCCAGAGCGACTAAAGTTGGCTAACGGTTGTATGGGTAGTTCGGTAAATACATTAGGTCACGTGGATCGGGGTAGCGCGTGTGTGTGAGGAAGTTCAGAACATTCTGGTGACAGTGGAACCGACTTCCATGGTAATAGTTACAGTTGCTCAAAAGTTAAATGTCAGTTATTTTTACATAATTCGAATAACAAACCCCAAAATATTTTACTGTAACTTCTTGCTCTCTTTAGTCTAAAGTTCTCAACTAGATTGATTATCCAAAGATTATACTTCCTCCGTTCCATAAAAGTTGCAACATTGAAATTTCTGCACTATTCACACACCTTACTTTGACTACGATTTTCTAATAATATATATAATAAAAATATTATGCATAAAATATTAATAAATTTGTATTAATGCAAATTTCCGATATACTATCCTCCGTATCTCATTAATTGCAACATTGGAATATATACACTATTCATGTACTTTACTTTGACTACATTTTATTTATTAATGTATGTGAATTATTTTTTTTGAAAAATGTTGTTAAATTCGTCTCATTACTAAGTTTTATAATCTAATTTTTATTTTATTTTTACTAATACAGAATTAAATATAACGACGGTCAAAGTTGTGCGTTGTCAAACGTGAAATGTTGACTGTTGCAACTAAAAAGAAACGGAGGAAGTATTAACTTTTTTTAATGTTTACTAATACGTAAATAAATATAATTACAGTCAAACTTGCGCGTTGGCAAACGTGAAAGTCAAACTGTTGCAACTTTTATGGAACGGAGGATAGTATAAGGAAAATGCTTAGTACACAAAACACTCCTAATTGCTTGCGTATACAGGCAATTCATTTAGAAGAGGGTAGAATTTGATATCCAATTACATGTATACACAAGTAATGTACACATTTTATGTACACCAAGCATGTTGCATTATATAAATAACATTTAGTGACTGATATTTGATCTTTGTTTATGATTTCATATATCAGAAATTCTTTATGCAAGATTTTTTTTCACGTTTTACTTAGAAAATTCAGTCAATTTGTTCCATTAATTTAATTGAAATAATATCTAATAGTATAAGGATATTCAACTTGAGTAATATAACATGGATATGAACAAAATAAGGATAGTGGAGTAAAATGTTATTTACCAACTTTAAGTGACTAATACTTATGTTCAAATTTTAAATCAAAATGACTATAAACATATACTCATATGTACTCTAGTCATATGTTTGTCGACAAGTTCACTTTTACTAATAATTTTAAAAAACCTAATATTTAATTTTAGTAATACTATACGAAAAACATATTTTTTTAATCTTACATCTATTTTGTTAGATTGGTTTCTAAGTTTAATTTTATATCAAAGTTAAAAGTGCACAATTACATCAATCATAAGTGTCATGTTCAAATTGTTTTTTGACAACATGTTTAAACTGTTGAAATGGAACTATAGTTCTATGAGCATTGCTTACATTCTTCAATTAAATTGATCATATGGTCCTCAACTATGTTATTGATATCACATATGATTTGTTGGGTTTAATTTTTCCTTCACTAAGTGATTCTCGATTTTATTCAATTTTCCCTTAATACCTTATGTCTCACTGTAAATTACATACGTAGTATTTCATTATTCACCTAATCCGATCCTGATTAGGTAATAACATTCAATTTTATCTCCCCAAATGTGGGTCTATTAAACGCTAATGAATTCAATTGTGTGCGTGTAAAAAAGACTAATTTAGAAAAAAACTTAATTTTAGGATGATTTATTTGAAACTAGAGATCTAATAAGGAATTGTATTTATAAACCAAAGAATAATTTTGCATTTATTAATTAACATTCTTATTAACAGATGGGAATGCTTTGTGCACCTTCGATCAAGATGCATTTATAACTTTCTTATAATAGGAATATAGTTCTGTTGGTATTGACCCCTTTGATTTCCCTAAGCCCAATATTGTTATGGTTGCACTCGGCCCATCTATTATTTCGCTGCTCTCCCCTTTTGTTGCCACGCCCCAGATCGCATCTAGGCGCATGTACAACCGTCGTATGACCAAGTAACGCCACTCGCAAGTCAACGTGACTTAACTATACAAGGCGTCCATGAACATAATATATATCCATACTCAGTAGTAAACATACACAACAACATCACAATTTAGATTAGTTGAATAGCGAAAATATTCAATAATCACTCGTGGGCCACACATGGCCAAAACGTAGGCTCGCAGGCCAAAACAATGTATTAATACAAAAGTATCCATAAGCATAGTTTATCTTTTGAAATAGTAGAGGGAGCACGAACCACGTCTTCCTCTGGATTCTCTTCACCCGTGCAAAGGTGTAGATGACAAGCTTTAACTTCAACCTGAAATGGTGGGGCCCCCCCGAAGGGGTCAGTACAAGTACCGAGCGAGTAGCAGGCTGAATATAGAATAACTAACGTTTCAAGTATAAGACCCAAACATAGGGTGATACTTATGTAAATAGTCTTTTCCCTCAAGCTAAGAAATACTTAGTAGTACATATACATTTGGAAAATACCCGATCCGTAGATCACCGTTTTATTTGGGAAAATATTAATAGTCAATATCCTTGACTAAAAACCCTAACCCACCCATATGCCTATGAGTGTATAGGACTCCTCCTTATCCATGCTTCAATATCATAATCTATGAATTTGGAGGATCAAAATCCTTGGGTACTCCACCAAATTTGTATTTGAGTGTTAAGGACTTTTAGTCCCAAGGTCCTCCGCCAATTTATTATCCGAGTGTTAAGGACTTTAAGTCCTAGGGTCCTCCACCAATTTATAATCCGAGTGTTAAGGACTTTAAGTCCTAGGGTCCTCCACCAAAATATGAGTGTTAAGGAGTTTTAAGTCCTAGGGTCCTCCACCAAAATATGAGTGTTAAGGACTTTTAAGTCCTAGGGTCCTCCACCAAAATATGAGTGTTAAGGACTTTTAAGTCCTAGGATCCTCCACCAAAATATGAGTGTTAAGGACTTTTAAGTCCTAGGGTCCTCCGCCAAAATATGAGTGTTAAGGACTTTAAGTCCTAGGGTCCTCCACCAAAATATAATCCTATGATCAACCTCTTGTCAACGTAGATAGGGTCTATATCACATTTATTCATTCATAGCTAAATCAATACATAAAGATTATGTATCACAACCCATGCAAAGCCATGCGTTTATATAAATTCATAATTAACTAATATCATCCGGTATCAATTAATCCATTATCCATCGGTCAACGTTTTCGTTGACCGCCATTTCTAACCTTATACGTATCAACTTAATCATCATATAATTAAGTTAATAATGTTCATTTGTGCTCCTCTTACGCTTCAAGCAAACATGCATTTTATATAATTCCTCATAACATATTTCATGCATAAACAATTAATTCCTTTCATACAAACTTAACCATGTTGGCTAATCACATGTTTAAATACCTTTTAAACATAATTATGAACACATATAACATTTATTTAGGTAATCTCATAATAAGCCGTCCACTCACCTTAAATGAGCTTTAGCACGTTCTACGCTTCTCGGTTGGACTCTGGCGAAACTCCGGTGAACTCCGGCGAAACTCCGGCGAACTCTAGAAACACTTTATTTATGCTCCTAATATGGTTTTATCATCACAAAACTCATATCAATACAAATAACCCCTAAAAGGTTATTTTCTGGCGAACCGGTCGTTTTGGCTTAGAACTACCTTCCAACCCCTCATTCTACATTTCTAAATATGTAGAAAAAGCCTAGGGGTTCCTCATATGATGTATAATCCATATGATAAATGAAAAGTAGAGGAAAAGTTATTAAAAGGTTATTACCTTAATATTCCACACTTTTCCTAACGTTTTCCTCCTTCAAGCTTTCTTTTTGGACTCCTATGGCTTGAGTTCGAATTGGCTATGTAGGATGAGTATCTTGCAAAGCTTCTCCTCTAAAAAATTATGTGTTGGGAGAGCTAGATGATTGGGGATGAGAGAGGGTGGCTTGTTTTGTCTCAAATGGAAAATTAATGGGGTGAGGGGTCCTCCATGGTACCTTTGATGCCAAAGCCCACTCCTCCACACATTTATTAGTCAACTCCAGCCTCCTCTGAACAATTTGAGCACACAAAAACGTGGGGTTGCCCCCACTCATGTGGGAGGTCATCCCTTTGTGTCCCGATTTGTACAATCGGCCCCGAAAGTTGTATTTTTCGGACTGTTTAAATTATATTTTATTTTATCGGGTCAAATAAAATATATTATGTGTTTCCCGTCATTATGGACTTTTGGAATGAGTATTCATTCCCCAACTTTAATTTAGACGTCTCCGAAATACGTTCCGGACTGTTATCTGATAAATTACTGATACCGGTAATTGGGCCTCGTTTGACCGACGGGTCAACCCTATGCCCTTCCTATGGCCCAACTAAAATATCTACCACCATATACATATTATCTAGACCAAGATGAATATAATATGTGGTCCCGGGTTTAGCGGGTGGTCCCCGCTCCCGATGTGGGCCCCACGTGCAATTCACTATTCACGCGAACTTAATAACAAAAATTTACAACCTCGTAAATTCACGAATCATTATTCAATGTTTATTACATGATTTACTAAAAGTAAATATACTTGGGGACGGTGTTACAAGTTCACCCCTCCCCCCCCTTATTTGGGATTTCGTCCCCGAAATCCCGTGTCTAATCGAAAAGAAACGGGTATTGCTCCCTCATTGAGACCTCAATCTCCCAGGTTTCTTCTTCGACTCGATCACTCCTCAAAAGCACCTGCACCATAGGAATCTCCTTGTTCCTAAGCCTCTTTACCTGCTTGCCCACTATCTTCACCGGTTCCACTACATATTGTAGGTCCTCT